TTAAACTAAGACTTTTATGAAAACCAACTATCATGAACTATGAGGATAAAGATTCCTATCCATAGCCAACCATCTTTCCATTTAAACTGACATGTGGCCTTTTCTTGTGATCTGTTATCGTGGAAAAATAATGACAATCCATTTGAAGGAATGCCAAAAAAGGTAAGACAACCAAATAAGTGTTTGTTTCGCTAACTTCTAATTTCGGGTATAAAGTATTCAAAGCTTCGATTATTTTTGGGTATATTTGGAGGAATTTGGGGTATTTTGGGGTATTTTGTCGATTTTTTTTCGGGTATATTGGTATTCCACTACCCCCCCTGGCCGACCCTGACTATTCCTTATAACGTGTTCAAATTTTCAACGGTTCCTCCCGTAACTTAACACCGAGTCACACAACGCGTGACGCGTTCATGAAATCATCGTTGGCTTTTTCTCGAGACTTGGGCCGCCTGTGGTGTCACGCGTAATGACAATTTCCTGATGTTACAATTCGCAGAAAGAAGGAAATTTTATCGTTTGCAGAGAGGTCCTCAGTGTTTGGGTAAAACGGGTAGTTCGTTTAAAACATCCTTATCAACGTCAAACCTATCTTCAAAGAACTGGGGAGCCCCTGATTTTAAGTTTTCTCTTCCATGCCTCAAAGCGACAATATTCTGGTTCTATGTCATTTATCATAGAAAGTTCGTGTTTGAGTATAATGGGAAGTGTATTGTTATTCTATCCTCTTAGAACCGGGAAGATTTAAAGTTTCGTGCTCCGCACATAATAAAAACACTTCCAGATGAGATTCCTCAAAACTTTAAGTTTCCGTTTCAGCGCATTACTTTCTGTCCTAATCAATATATCGTTTGTTACATTCTTAACATTATTCTCCGGGTCGAAGAACAGGCGGTCTAGTGTCTGTCTTCTATCTTTTTGTTTGTCTGCTTTCTCTGTTTCTTTCATCTTAACAAACTTCACAAACATGTTTGGGAATCAAGCAGATCTAGAGGGAAGTTATTACTTAACTTGATCGGTTTCCTGCAACAGGTTCTCTTGGGCTCGGGTAGAGTTAAACTGTTTTAGGAAATTGAGCTCACCGATATTTGTACGCTTGACAACATTAACACTGAGGAAACGAAGTCGCTTACATTGACTTCCTATAGTGCTGTGATATTTTACGCGTCGAAAGATGATGAAGTCTTCAGATTTCGTTATCCAGACCAGGCCCGTTTGTTACAGTTGCTCGGCGCTGTCCTTGCATGATAATCTTCTTCTTCCGCTGATAAACGTCTCAAACCCACCGCTGACCACTTGAATGGCCTTTTCAAACCACGGGCAAACCAATGCAGACAATGCCTCGCATGAGTAAAACTCAGAAATGTTTAAAAACCTACATTGTATATGACGGTTGTGATCAAAAAAACGAAAAAGTGATTCATAAGTGCTTCATATGCCAGTTTGGTCAATTATGATTTTGCAGTATTGTCTTATAACATGAGAACTTTCCCCAAATCAAAAACCTTGCCCCAAATTGGAAACGTTGCTTACCGCAGTTCATGACATTTGCCAGATAATACTAAGGCGCAAACGTTTAAAATCGACAGAAATTTTACTTTAACTCCTTTTACTGTGATATCACTTACTCTTATTAAAACAAGCTATCAATCTTTGCATTAATATCCGGTTGTCACTAAACTGTTTATATCCTTGCGAATGAGTTATCCCGTCATGCTATGGTGTCTGAGAAATAACTACGAAAGTCTTTTAAAGGTGTTGAAATTTCTTATATCCCGGTTTCCCGATGTCCCCCTTCATTCCTTTCGGTCTTTGAGCTCCTACTGGCCCACGATTGCCAGGGGGTCCATATGGGCCAGGTTTCCCTGGGGAGCTCCGTTTCCCACGGGTTCCCTGTCTGCCCTGTTTACCCCGCCTCCCTTGGCTTCCCTTAGGTCCGGGGCGACAAAAAGTGTAATCTTTAGCACAGACTTGGTTTTGCAGCAGACGTAGTTCTTGTTTGACCAGTATTTGTACATCAGAAGATGTTATGGTTGAATTGTGCTGTGAATCATCAGGTGAAGAGCGTTTTGGTCGTTTTGGGTTAGCTTCCTTTCTATCTAAAAAATAGAAGACTTTTTTAAAAGTCGGCCTTGCTTGCTTCGCCAATTACCAAACAGAATTACTCCTGATGATAGGTTAAGGTCAATTATCCCAGTCTGAAATATGTAGTCTCGATATTTAAGTTTATATAAATACGCAAAACATAGAACTAAAAAATCAAATAACATTGATAACAATAATAATAAAGCAATAAAGTCGAGTTTTCTAAATTTAATTTTTTGAAACATTCTCCAAGGAGCCGCGCAGTTTTTTTTTCTCGGAACACATAGATACACTGCATCAGTATTAACAGCTGTTGTGTCGCATCAACAATTTATAATGCCTTGGTCGCACTTTGAAACACCCGTCGCACTTTGTATTAACAATTGTCGCACTTTGTGATAAAAAAGCTGTTGATCTTTTCAACGACCTTTGTATACATTGATAAAGTTATCAAAACATGCATCATCCAGTAATGAAATAAAAGAATACCAAGTTACCTTGAGTCGTTCGCCATGTACTCCCCGGTTCCTCCTCTTTATTGCGCCATCTCATATCATTTTGCTGAATTTTTCGAAAGATTTCTGTCTCCAGCTTGTTAAATAACTCTGACGAGTCTAATATCAGACGATGATTTTCTTGTATCCTGAGTTGGTGGTGAATTAGCGCGATAAAACACAAAAGAAACAGAAGCAAGCCTGACCCGGAGGACAGGCGGTCTAGTGTCTGTCTTCTGTTTCTCTGCTTGTCTGCTGTCTCTGTTTCTTTCATCTTTACAAACTTCATAAAAAATTTTTGGGAATCGAGCAGATTTAGGGGGAGGCTTTTACCTGACCTGATCAGTTTCCTGCAAACGGTTCTCTTGGGCTCAGGTAGAGTCTAACTGTCGTAGGAAATTGAGCTCACAGATATTTTTATCACTGAGGACGCAAAGTCGCTTACATTGTCTTCCGTTAGTGCTGTAGTATTTTGTGCGTCGAAAAACAATGACGTCTTCAACTTGCAAAGAGTTCGTGTTCTAGTAAGACGTGAAGTTTATTCAATATCATCTGAAATGAATGCAAACCTATCTCCTCAGACCAGAAAATTAGAGTTCTCTGTTTTACACGTATCAGAAACAATTCTCTGATGCGACATTATTCGCTCACTTAGACTACAAGTTCATCGCCTGCAGAAAGTTCGTGCCGGTTTGAGTATAGCCAAGGGGAACATTATTTAGTGCTATCATATATACATGAGCTCAAAAATTCTTCTAAAAACTGGAGACAAATCTAAAGTTCTCTGTTCCAAGTTTTCCAAGCGTCACAACAACAATTTCCTGACGCTGCAATATTTAGCGCGCACAGAAAGATGATATTCCCTTCGCATGCAGTAAGTTGGTATTTGAGTATGACGGGAAGTTTATTATTACCTTAAAGGAGGTCAAACGTATGTTTAAACCTTTGTTTTAAGCCTTTTATTTCTATTCTTCATGTCACAAAAAAAAGTTTCTTCTTTGCGTTCCTTAAATTCTTTAAATTTCTGTTCATTTTCTTTACTTACCGTCCTAATCGTTGCTTCATTTATTACATGCGAGAGAAATCAAGACAACATCACAAGGTTTGTTTTTCATTTTACACATCTATCCAGAGACATTTAGCGGGGTGGAGCTTTAAACCGCAGACGAAGAAAAGAGCTGAACTGTGTCTGCTGCTAAATATTATCATTGCTGCTGCTTATTTCAGAATATTCTTTGCCCTACGGATGTATGATCCTCTTTGTCACGCTATTAATTGTCAGTGTTTCGTTAATGACTTCAGCTCTATCCACTGGCCTGAATGAAACAAACAAACAAAAAATCTGATCAGACGATGCATGCACACTGACGGAATTAATTTTTAAGCGAAAAAAGAGTTAGGGACGGACCATCATTTTTCTGAAGGGGGGTATGAGAAATTTTCTTATGCAAACCGTGATTTTTTTTAAACGTATAAGTCTCCGCAAACATTTTTTTCCAACATCATCTTAGTGCAAACCACAATTTTTTCCATTTTTTTCTCAGCGTTCCTTTTATTTTTGCTAAATATTACCATTACCTTATTAAACTATTCTACGAAGAACGTAATCAATAGTTCTATAGCCACTTATTTTGTCGATATACGCTCCAATCACCATTTAAATTTTTTTGGCAGCTACTGACGTAAACAAAGGGCATACGACAGGAAGTAGGAAAAGGAAGTAGCAGGCGTTTTTCGCGATTCCACAGTACCGAAGTCCTGATCCTCTTTGATAATGTTTCCACAGGCCGTCATACTCGTACCACCCGGCCTGTGGTACCTAGGGCGAAGGCAGGCACATTGCTGATTTTAAATGATTGCCTTTGCCATAGGTCACTTCAAATAACTTTAAAGTAGCAATGATAAATATAGCCAAGATTGAAGAATGTGATTTGTTTAATACAGTTTTGAGAAAAATACCTGATAAATGAAGTTTTGTAGTAGGACAAAGTGTTGACAAGTAACGTTGAGATTTAATTGCCAGAATAAATTCCCATTTTTTCAAGAAATATTCAGCTATTTTCAGATTTTTTATTTGCTTAATACAGAGTAACCAAATTGTGTTAATTTTTATACTAATGCTTTAATTTGTTACTTTATTTTTTAATTTCGGTTTTGGTAATAATATTTTTTTAATTTTTACCTGACTTTTTTGCAAACATTTTTTCTACCCTATCACGTTTGCAACAATCTATTTTGTCTTTTCAGACCCTGCTAAAAATGTTTTTTCAATATTTCTTATACCCCCCTCAAGAAAAAATAATGTTCCGTCCCTTTCTTTGATTAGCAGTGCACCTGTTACCCAACCCCACCCCCCACGTTAACGATCTCCTATGTAAACCGATGGGCTGTGTAAGATTCATTAGTATTGAACCTCATGTATGTTGACATAATGTTTATGTATTAGTTTTTACGTAGAAAATGTCCCAACATCGGTTTAAAGTATCAAAGGCCAATGCTGATGGGGCAGAAAATACAAAAGAGACTTTCCGACGGGTGAATCTGTCAACAGATATTGAAGTGAATATCATCGAACCGTGTAAGGATTTTTTTTTTGCGCCAAGAGAGGGTGCAAACCGATTGAATGACCACGTGTGTCATACTAACTTTACAATGTTTTTTTCACACTTCACTGGTTTAGGTTAATTTTTTTGAAACCTTTGCCTTTCAATTGAACCCTGGAACTTTTTAGAGAACCGAAATGTAGCAAAGGAAATCTAGATAAATATCAGTCGAACTTGATGTTTTACCGCACGCAAACGAAACGTGCGTATTTAATTTTTCACCCACAGCCCCCGAGAGAAAAGATAGGAAGAAATCAAGCATTTTGACCGGAAAGGCCGGAAATTTAGCATTGTACGAGGTAACTGTAGTAGGCTTTCTTTGACTGAACCGAAAATTGTTTTTGTTCTGACTTCATTATTCTCGCACCGTGTACTTGCTGATCATTTTAAACACCTACTTTTCTGATCTTTTATCTTCTCGTGCGCACAGGATGAGCTTCACAAACGACCAAGGATTTCGACGCTTTTAGATAGTTTGTCGAGGTACGAAGCTGTTGCATCTCCGCAACAAGATGACGATGAAGGAGAAGCGAAAGCGGCTACGACTAGTCAGGTACGATATTCATATAAAAATATTTCGAACAAAGCGTGTTACTGCTACGTTGAATGGCCAATTACTTACTAATCAGTGAGTCCTTAACAGTTTATGCAAATTCGTTTTGGCTTTGGAAGCGTACTAAATTATTTATACTAAACTTTGTTTTGATCGGTCGAAAGTTTGAATCATTTTTTGTTTTAAGTACATAATCCGAATTTATTGAAATTGAAGGAGGTCAAAGACTCTCGACCTTCTAAATAAAACACAATGAACTTAAACCGCCATGTTTTGTCTCACTGTTTTGACAGATGTAAACATACTGCAACAGAAAATAATCCTATTTTCATTATTTAAAGCGCATCTGCGGGAGTCTAACATAATTTGAATCAACTGTAACGGTCTTAGACATTTTCTACGACACATTGCGGCTTTATTCATGAACATATTCTTGATGCAATAAGGGATTAAATTTGCGGAGTGAAAGTGGAATGTGAATAAAAGTGAAGAGGAGTGATTCGGTCCTTACTGTACTGTAGCACTTGGGTTTTCATTTGGTATATGATCATTTCACGCTTGGAAAGTTCTGCGATCTGAAATTTTACCTATTTGCCTAATGGGGAATTTCCATCGAGAGTCTGAAGTAAATCCAGGATTGTTTTTCTAGCTTCATCTCAGAGTACTCAACAATAACTTTGGTATCAGTGGGGTATACGATTATTTGAACTAGGGGGGGCATTCAATGTTTTACTTATTGGCTCCAATAGGTTTGTTTTGTTTTGTTTTGTTTTTTTTAACGTAATTTTAACTATCATCATTTTTTAAAATATATCATTAAATCATCAAATGGGGAGGGAAAGTGACATGAATTATAGAACCTTACATCCTTCTGAGCTCAACCACTTCAAAAAGATTCTTTGTGGTCTGATGGCTACCTTATAATTAAAAGTATTATCCTGTAAAACCACTAACCTCCCCAGAGTTTTAATTAGGGACCTTAAGCAAACCACAACAGTGACAGCAACGAGGATGTACCAAAACAAAAGATCTAATAGGCAGAATAATAGCTGAGCAACTTTGTTGTCCTCTGCTAAACAATAAAGCAAAATCACCAAAATTTGCACAGTCTGAGAGCAGAAACCCTGACAGCAAATTATTAAAGTTCCTCTTCAGAACTCAATGCTGCTCATATCCATTACACTGAAGCTAGATTTAGGATGGTAAACATCCAGACATTGGTGAAATCCAATAATACAAATTTATTTTTTAATCCACATTTTGCTCAGCATTGCTGTCCTGACTGCTTAAGGTCCCTAATGACTTCTTCACCGGCTGTCTGGGGTCGTGGGTTAGGGTGTTCCTTTACTGTGAACCACTTATAGAAATCGATTTTATTGCCCTCTGTGGAACCTGGCAGCTATAGAAGTTAGTTATCAGTCTGTTAGGCATTCCTATGTATGCCAGCTCTTCCACATTACCCAGGATCTAGGAGTCTACTTGAGACAACCAATCCAAAACATTCCCTTCTTCATTTTTTAACTCAAGTACAAGCTTAAAAACATAGGGGATTATCATTTTAAGGTATAAATTATTTGTTGATATTACAGTACTGGTTGCATTACTAAGAATCAGAAATATCTAAAAGTGTTTGATTAGTAGTCAGTGATAGGTGATGATTAATAGCTTAGCTTTCTCCTGAAACTTGGACTATATCTTCTGAAACATAGTTCAAATTTTGCAGGTCACAAAGATGGGTACACTTATGGGTGTGTACCTACCAACCATTCAGAACATTTTTGGTGTTATCCTGTTCATCCGTTTATCTTGGATAGTAGGAATAGCAGGAACATTTCAAGCATTTTTCATTGTGTTCATTTGCTGCTGTTGTGTAAGCAGTAATCCTTATCCCTTTAACTCCAAAGATCTGATTGTTTATCCTTCCCTCTAGCTGTTACACATTTCCCAGTAAATTAGTTACGAGAATTTGGTGTTAGATCTAGATAACAGCTTCTACTTGATACATTTGAGTATTCTCATTACCTGTTTGCTGGATAGTATATCAATATTGTAGGGAGAAGTTAAATGTGAATCACTTCTGGGAGTTAAAGGGTTAAGGAACCATGCCTTCTCATCTATTTTCTTAATGAAGTGAATTTTGAACATTGTTGTAAAGATTTTGCTTGCTAGGGTAAACAAATCTAAAAGAGAGAAAAGATAAGGATGGTTCAGATTAATATCTGAATTAAAATTTTGAGGAATTTGAAAGATAGATGCTAAATTGAAGCTGATACAGGCTCTAATATGATGAAAACAAAGATAGCATGTTGTGGTGATTGGATGATGATGCCAAAGCCAAAAAAATAAACTATACATTTAGATGTACAAATGTAATTTCCAAAAGCCACTAATTAATACCCCTTAAGGCTTTTTTGATTTGAGGTTCTAGCCTACTATTTACAAGGCGAGTTCATTTTTATATGAGAAGTGTGTTAAACAGTCTTGGTTAAATAATTGAAGATGTTGATTACCATAAGTGAAGATGCTTTAGTTAAGAATCAAAGTCATTCTTGCAGGAGGTAGTAAAGATTGTTTCCCAACTTTTCTTAAGTTTTTGGCTTTCAAGTTTTATGTATGTTGATTACATTTATTATTTTCTTTAATTTCTAATAAATTAAGTACAACACTTTTGCTTTGTAGACAATGTTGACAGCCATCTCAATGAGTGCCATAGCTACAAATGGAGTTGTTCCAGGTAAAATGTTTCCTAACCTATTTCAAATCTGCCCTGAGATTATTGAACATATAGCCTGAGGGAAACCTGTATTAAGAGAACCCAAGAATCAACTTATGAAATTTATGTATGTGTCACAAAATTAATTAAAAGAAATGAGATGTGATGATTTTTTTTTTTTTTCTTATTTCATAATTTTCAGCTGGGGGAGCTTATTTTATGATTTCGCGTGCCCTTGGTCCTGAATTTGGTGGAGCTGTTGGGCTTCTGTTTTATCTGGGAACCACTTTTGCTTCCTCAATGTACATCCTTGGTGCTATAGAAATACTTCTGGTAAGTTACTAGACACTGTTAATATAGTCAGCAAATATCCAACTTGACAAAATTGTCAAAACATCTTCACTGCCAAAACTTTGACTCTCTTTGGGTTCATGTATGCAATCACATTTTTTTTAGAGCTTTACAAAACAGAGTTTTGTATCTTGAAGTGTTAAAATAGACCCTGGAGATTTTCTTGGAAGGAGAGACCAGATGAACTAAAAAGGTCTCTTCTTATTGTCTTCCTTTTTCTTCAATTTGTCTCAGTTATTAATAAAGATCTGAGTTTCCTAGTTGTAAGATAGGGAAAGCAGTGTCCAAAGAAACCCAAACTGTGATTAAAGCATTAATTATGACACAAGAGTTGCAAATGCAAGCTGGTTCCACTCAATGTTTTGGGTTATAACTTAATTATGTAGATAATGTAATTAAGGAATTACTACTCCAAATACAAGTCCATGTTGATGTTATTTTTCTCTGTAGACATACATGGCTCCATCAATGTCTCTCTTTGGAGATGTGAGATCAGGAGGTGGTGCACAGTCTCCAGTGATGCTAAACAACATGAGGGTGTATGGCTCCATCTTGTTGGTTTTACTTATTGCAGTGGTTTTTATTGGTGTCAAGTATGTCAACAAATGTGCCTCTCTGTTTCTGGCCTGTGTGTTGTTTTCCATCTTGGCCATCTACCTTGGATTCTTTTCTGCACATGCTCGAGAAATGCCCAGGTGAGGAAAAATGTGTCCTCATCATTCAGTGAAACTTTCCTTGGGTGCTGAGTTGGCCAGTTTTATTCATAGTGGTTTGATAACAAAGTTAACAAAATCTGTAAGTATGGAGCTAGTCCTGGGCTAAAATAATCAGTACAGTTTTTCTTGATTTAAACCCCTCTTTATATCAGGGCTTTTGATTTCCATGAAATTTGCATTTGATTTGCATATTCTCACCAGTTTTGCTCCAGTCACTTTGGAAAAAATCTTGTTCAATAAAAAATTTCCATGACAATAAGATTTCTTCAAACATTTGCATGACTTGCCAGCTGGTTAAGGTCTATGCCTTTCTTTCCCTCAATCTACAGAGTCTGTAAAATAATAAAATTTAGATTCTGAATTTCCCAGATGCTGAAGATTAAAATCTCTTTATCTTTGCAGGATCTGTTTGTTGGGTAACAAGTTATTAGCTAGTAACAGTTATCATGAGTGTGCAAGGAATGATACATTACTAAATGCAACATATGGAAATGATGAGACATTCTGGAGTAAAAATCCTCTGAGCTATGTGATTGGAGTGCCGGGCATTCCTAGTGGGCTTTTTTTTGGTAAGGTAATTTTAATTTGTTGGCTGAACAACTCATTCAATCGTTCTGTTTGTTCATATGTTCATTTGTTTAATCACTCATTCATTCACTCTTCCATTCCTTTGTTTGTTGTTCCAGTGTTCATTCCATAATTCTTTTATAAATTTAACTGTTTTCTTAAATGATAGTTTTTTTAGTTTTATTGCTATTTGAAATAAAATATAATTACATATTAAGTAGGATGGGTGCACTGTGGAGTATGGATACAAAGTAGGTCATGCTTAGAGCCCAGATCAGGTTATCATGTTGTGTTTTTGTGCAAGATGCTTTTCCCCTCACAGTGCCTCCCACCCACAAGTATATATATGTTATTTGTTGGGCAGTGAGTCCTTATGTGAAAAAACTGTTCCTGTGGTCTTGGCCTGAGGTAAAAGTGCTAAGAGCCTTAATCAAGACCAAGGGCATGGTTTTTCCCGTTATGGACTGACCTTAAGACCGGTAAACAACTTATTTTTTGCTGGTTTTCTTTTTTTGTTAATCTGGTGCTAAAGGCATAGTAAAACTCTGCACCATGGACCATATTGATAAAATATTGACTGGTCATGAGTGGGCTATTAGAGAACCAGACTTGAGGATTTGAGATTCCAGCCCATATGAGACACTTCAGAAGAAAAGAAACTTGAGTCCTAATGAATTATCAATTTTCTGACAAGATACATGAGGGTAACCTGAAATGGACTAGCTTCCCATCCAGGGGAGAGTAACAACAACTGTGCCGATGAACTCTGGAAGTCTGGGGTCAGACTTAATATTTATTACACTTCTGTTATAAATGATTTTTAGATAATTGGAACAGTCAGTATCTAGAGAAGGATGAAGTTTCTTTTGGTGTCAAGGCTGGTGAATATCAGGGGGAAGTGAGATCAGATATCTCCACATCTTTTTTCATTCTCCTGGCAATTTTCTTTCCATCTGTCACTGGTAGGTAACTCAGAGATTATCAGTTATTTTGTTAGCTAAATTAAGGTGTGATATACAAAGATCCTGTCTCTAATTTGCCCCATGATTGTTTCAAAGGTATCATGGCAGGGTCCAACAGGTCTGGTGACTTGAAGGATGCACAACAGTCTATTCCTAAGGGCACAATAACGGCCATAACAACTACATCTGTAGTCTGTATCCTTCACACATGATATTTGGGTAACATGTTCAGTTCCAAAGATCCAAAAGCTGAATCTCTTTGCTGATGATCATGGATTTCTTTGTGGATTGGTGCTGAGAATTTGGTGACTGAAGCGTAAACAATAGTTTTCCTCTCTTTCAGCACTGAGATTCGACTATATATACTTATAGGTCATATCACTTGCTATGTAAATGTAACAGCTACTGAATACAAAAAAAGGGGGGCTCTGATTACCCACAAACAAGTGGGCTCCTCTACTGGAAGGCTTAGCCTTTCGTTACTTGGCAATGCATAGGCGTTTTTGTTGTGATTGTAAATAATTACTGCACCCTGACAAAGCTTGAAGATCTCACCTCAGTATTACTGTTTGGAGCAACAGTACAGGGCGACTTACTCAGAGATAAGTACGTTTTACTATGAATTTTACTCCATATGATTTTACAAACTTATTCCACTTCACGTGAAGTGTTGTAAAGTGGGAATCAACTTTTAAGGGACAAACTCAACACTAAAGCAAAATGTCCCATGAATGGATAGTTGTTATAGGAGCGTTTTTGTCACTTGATTGGACGAGATACCACCTGAAAAAAGTCCCCATGTGAAAGAGAGCTCCCACTTTAACCGTCAGTGAAGGAAGTTAAGAGCTGCAGCTTCAGGTTTGATCAAAAATGACTTTTTCTTTAAGAAATTTGTAGGATTTTTTAAGATGATCTGCTCTTTACTCATGAAATCAAATTAACAGTGTTTCATTCGGGTGCATCCTCGTCCATTAACAATAAAAACAATGTTTCTGTTGTCATACCTTTCCGCTTGGTGTCCCGTTCTTTCCAGATTCGGTCGTAGTATCAACAGTGTTATGGTCGTTGCTGAGATCGCCTGGCCTCCCACGAAATGGGTGATTCTAATTGGTTCATTTCTATCCACTGTGGGAGCAGGAATGCAGAGTTTAACAGGGTGAGTAGGTTCCTGACCTTATTAGAATCTTAAAGACGAAATTAGTACGAGGCCACACCTCAAGCGTTAGCTCTTTGCCATCAAAAACAGCCAAAATGTTGAGTAGCAAAATTTCTCTCCAAGGTTATGGAGTATGGCATGGCTTAGATGGTCATGCAGCACAAAGATCCGTTTGATGGAAAGGTGCTTGTTCATTTTTTTGTTTTTTGTTTTTTTTTTTCAGGATCACCTCTATATATTTTCACTAACTACCTCATTAATCTTCTTTGCAGTGCACCCCGGCTGTTGCAAGCTATTTCTAGAGACAATCTGATTCCATTTCTGAATATCTTTGCTCATGGTTCTAAGTCTGGTGAGCCAACTCGTGCCTTGGTTCTTACAGCTTGTATTTCAGAAATTGGAATTCTGATTGCCAACTTGGACTCAGTTGCGCCCATTATAACAATGTGAGTGCATTTTTCATTTTTGTGTCGAGAGTAATCCGTGATTGCTTTGACTTTGGTCAAGAGAGGATAAAATCACTTAATCATCTTTTGCTTTGGTGTACTTAGCTCTGTGATCTGTTCAGAACACTCATTTCATCCTTTCAATTTCTTACAATTTCCATGCATTATCAAGAAAACAGGTGATGGAAACAAACAACCTCATTGGTTTTCGGGTAGAGCACGACTTTCGCTCCACTGATTTACGAGAAAATTTAAACGAGCCAGAAAGGAGAATTGCTCTCTTAGGAGTAAAGTTGTCAATTCAAAATAGTCAGTTTTGTAATGTTTCTTTTCTTTTGTCACTCAGGTTCTTCTTGATGTGCTATGGATTCGTCAACTTGGCTTGTGTGTTACAATCGTTGCTTAGGACACCAAACTGGAGACCGCGATTTAAGTATTACCACTGGTATGGTGAACTAGGGGATAACCATTAATTTATTTAATAGTTTATGGTCTCGGGCTCTCAACGAATTTGTTGTTAGCAAATAAATTTCCTCCTATGCCTCTGGTATTGCTCTTTTACCCGCTATAGGCGCATACAAATGTTTGAAAGTGTGAGTAGGTCGAACTGTTGTCAACCCTCACAGTACCTCTTCCCATTTAGAATAAAACTGGGTACTATAGCTAGCGCTTTTGAGAAAGTCTACTGACTTTTGGGATAAATTACGATGAGCTTCGTGCCATACTAGCAGCTATGAACCGTTTTTTACACTCGTCACATTTCAAATGCTCATTGTGTATTGCCTGGCTAGGTGTGCGTCGTTCCTGGGAATGTGGTTGTGTTTGGCTTTGATGTTTATCTCCAGCTGGTACTATGCTCTTGTTGCTATTACACTAGCAGCTGCTATTTACAAGTACATTGAATACCAGGGGTAAGGATGTTTTGCTGTTGGCTCGTGCGAGGTTTACATCTAACTAAGGGTTTATATGTTAACTGATTAGCGACAAAAATGCACGTATCGCATTTTCCTTTAAATCTACATCACGGAATCAGTTTCAGTTCTTTTTTCCTGTCTTTGAAAACTTTGAAAGGTTTTGTTGATTGGAATGAAACCACGAAACAACGAAGTGGGATAGTCGACAATCACCAAAGAAACAAACATTTAGAAATAGAGAGCAAGGTTGGATAAGGGTTGATTAGATTTGTACGGATTGCAGATGACGAACGTAACAAACTTTGGTTAAAATTTGTCAAGATTCACAAACCAGGACCAATCCTATTAAAGGTTACGTGACTGGCAGCTCCCCAGCTAATTAACTGAGCCTCATTCATGTTGTAAGACCCAGTCTCCCGGCACTCTCAGTTCACTGCATAAATGTGGCTAAAAAACACATGCCACTAGTTTAAAGTCAGTGGTTCTTTCCACCGCCTTGGTCCAAATGAAATTTTGGTTTATTTCACTGTTGCGAAATTCACACCAGACGTTAAATTCGATAGCGCAAAGATTGAGTGGGGAGACGGATTCAGGGGACTGGCGCTGAGCGCAGCTAGGTACAGCCTGATGAGACTGGAAGAGGGTCCACCGCACACCAAGAATTGGAGGTTAGTCACGTGGCTTGTTTACTGATCTAGACAAGCTCTTTAAAGTTTTGTGTTAGCAGAAACCTTTTCTGTTCTATTCTCTCTTTCAACAGACCTCAAATTCTTGTGCTCTGCCCCCTGAAGGAGACTTTAGAACCTGAATTCAGACGCCTTTTAAGCCTGGCGAGCCAACTTAAACACGGTGAATACCTTTGTGGACTTGTTATGTTTTGTAGTCGTTTTAATAAATTATTATTACTTCCTATTTGAGAGGGATGGTGTTTTCACGAATCTGGAAGACGAGAAGAATCTAAAGTGAAGACATTTACCCTCTGTGATCTCAGTCTAAGTATAAAGTTAAAATTGTCTTTACTTAGAGCGGTATTTTTTTTAGGACGTGGTCTTACAATCGTGGGATCCATTCTGGAAGGAGACTTTAAAGAAAGAACTGAAGATGTTGCTTTGGCAAAGGAGGTGAGGGGTAGATTTAGGTATTGGCTGATCTCCGAATGCTTAGAGCTAATATTATGATAAAATACCGATGGCAGACAGAGCGGAGAATTCAATAATTTAGATGCTTAAAACTTTAGGGTGAAAAGGTTTTAGGGACCACTTTGCGACAACCATCTTCATGGAGAAAGATCTTTTTTTCGTCTTGTCGTGAGTGTGGGACAAAGAAAAAATTCAGAGTCCCCATGAGGAATCGAACCTCAGACCATCGGATATATATGGCGGACGAAACGTCATATCATTCGTACTTTCCTGCCACCGTAGCAAGATTTGTCAAAAAGACAGTCCCATTAGAATGTTTTTAAACTAACCTTGAGTCAGAAGTCTTTTTATGTTTTCATAAAAGATAGGCAGTGCAAATTTATATTTTTATTGAGCTCAAGTTTAGACCTGATAAACATCATCTCTGTACGGGCTCTCGAAGCAATGAAAGTAGCCGGCAAAACCTTGCAGAGAAGCCGGCCTACTTCGCCGGCTGCCGGCTCTTATCTTCAACCCTGCATTATCAATCGTGTGGTGAATGTACACCTTTGAATTTAACGAGAAAGAAAACAACAATCATGCACACAAACAAACAGGAAAACCGGATTAGTTTTGTCCTGAATATAACTCTTGAAAAGAGTATTATTTTTTGGTGACATTTTAACAATCGGCAGGTTTTACAAGGCTGTATGAAGGAAGAAAAAGTTAGAGGTTTTCTGAAGGTGATCGTGGCAACCAAAGTAACAGAGGGGATTTCTTTCTTGTAAGTATAAGAACCGCATTTTTTGCTTCCTTTTCTCAGTTTCCCCTTTTTCTGTCCATTGATTTGAAAAATCAGGTTTCATGAGAATTCACCATCTTTTATTAACACTTTCAAATTTGAACGAACATCAACCAGGTGTAACTAGATCATTATTTTAGCGATAGTTAATTGGTTTTCCTAACCAGATTCCCGCCAGGTCCGAACGATTTAAACCTCTGTTTCAGTGTTTGTTTTTTTACCGATTTAAAATAGTATACTTCTCCTTCAGGACGCAGAGTTCCGGCCTTGGAGGCTTAGAACCTAATACCTTGATGATCACATGGCCCGAAAACTGGCGGGAAAAAGCGCAGTGGAAGAGCTTTGTCCGTAAGTAAAACAAAAGAAACTCGTTGGAAATTTAATTCGTTTTTCATTCTTTCAAGGTTCAACCCATACCCGTTTATTCCTTGAACAAGTCTTGCAGTGACTTAAATTATTGTTAGAGAGGGCCTAGTTATGGCGAGATATGATCAAAAATACTTCTTGAATGAAAGAGAGGTCGTGCAGTTAGTGTTGGTTTCCTTTCTTACGTTCTGGACTTTTGTGACGCTCAGAAAATCCTCATCTCTTCGCTTTCAACAGATTTTAATGACATCAGCTTTAGTAGCTTGTTTTATCTCGAGCCCTGATGGGTCATTTCTTATGTTTGTGCTAGTGGTGACCGACTGGGTCAGGGTGATTAACTCGGCTCCTTGTTCCGGCACCTGAAATGATTGTTGAGAACCCTTTTCGAATGACCCCCCATAAATTGAACCCGAAGTGTTCACATCGGAATAAAGAAAGATACCTCTATTGGCCAATGGAAACTCATATTAAACACATGCGAACTGCCTTAGACGCCGTGAAGCGCGTGAAAATGCTCTCGACTAAGTCGCAATTGGTTTTAGTCGGCGCAAGTTTTTTGGACCGATCAGAAAGCGCAGTTTCGAAAAACCAAATGAATGTAACAATAGATTACTTTCGAAATTTAACTGAAACTGCCATATCCTCTTTAAATTACAGATACCATACGATCTGTATCGAAGAGTCAACAAGCCGTGCTTGTTGCCCGTAAAATAGACTCGTTCCCCAGCAACACAGAACGCTTAGAAGGCAATGTGGACGTGTGGTGGATAGTTCATGATGGTGGTTTAATGATCCTGATCCTCTTCCTCTTAAAACAGCATAAAGTTTGGAGGAAGTGTAATCTTAGGATTTTTACAGTAGCACGTATCCTTTGTCCATTTGTTGGTCTATAAAGGGAAAAACGGCTTGAAAACCCTTTTTAAGGCTGTTAAGTCCTGCGAAATAGAGTAATGCTTCTCATAGCTTAAGATGTAGTTTGAGTGATCTAAAAGGGGGAAAAAATGCTCTGTGCCTATATGAATGATTCAATGGTAACACGGGTAGGACGGAGTGCCAGGAAGTCTCGGGAACTTGTGGCGGTATTTGGGTAAGATGCTTTTCTTAAGGTGTAATATCTCATATTGTAGGGAAATAAGTTTCCAAGAAAAGAGGGAAGGTAGGTTGAAGAGCAGAACGTAATAGGGCCGTTGTAATAGTCAAATCGTACCTAAAAGGAAAAAGGTAACTAAGAAATTGATAGAGAAAGAAAAAGAAAATTGTAGACTGTATAAGAGGGGTACGAAGAGACTGAATATTTAGCCCTTAATATCAGTGTCTTACGCATTGTTTCTGTGTTCCTATGGTGATCATTTTCCAAGAGTTCTGCTTCGATTTGACGTCTGCTTTGTTTAAATGTCTTGTAAATCTTTCTTAACCAAACGAATGTAGAACTCGAGGACAACAGCATTCAAATGAAGAAGGATCTGGAGTCATTTATGTACCAACTGAGAATCAAGGCGCAGGTTGAAGTCATTGAAATGGTCTGTAAACCAGTTTTAAAATGTTATCAATTGTCGCTTTGATCTCATTGCCTCTTCTTGTCATGGGTCGATAGAAAAGATCGCAAGAAAAATTGTTCCTTGTGTCAGGAGAGTAGGTGGTTCAAACGATGGTACTTAAATTGTCAATTTAATTCCACACAGATCGTTAGGGAACTGATAGACAGAAATAGTGCGCATTGTTTCACTGCGGTACGAACGTGTACCTCTAGTCATACAAATGCCTTTGATTTGAAATTTACATTTCAGCCCCAGCTGAAATAACGCCTGATTAAGTGTGAAACAACATAATGGACTAAAATGTGCCGGTTGTTTGGCTTCTAGAATAAATTTCCCCGAAGTTTTTTTTTCAATATTTGGTGGTTGCAGAATTCCGTTTTCTCGAGCCCACCTTTTTTCCGAAACTCTCGATCATTAATTCGAACCTAATACCGCTTCCCTCCCTAAATCAATCACCGCAATCTATACACCCTGCCATCTCCCGCGGACTTTACGAACCCTCTGGTAGCATGCCGATTAATTTCGGCCTAAAGGTTGCAAAAATTTAGGATTGCACTGTAATAACGTTTTCTACATTTCAGATGGACCAAGATATCTCGGAATACACTTACGAACGCACGTTATTGATGGAACAAAGGCATCAAATGTTACGTGAGATGCACTTGTCTAGAAAAGAAAGCAAACGTGAAATTCAAGACGTTGTGGAACATTCTTACCGGAGGCGATCTTTGTCCGGAAGACGGTCAAATTCCGATTATAAAACTGGCAAAGAATCGGAGAACACGAGTAACTTTGGCAAGGAGTCGCATTCTGACGAACAGGGTTCGAGTTCATCCAAAAAAAACACGAAGATTTCTGAGAAACCCTCGATTCAAAGCGACGAAGGCACAAAAGGAGTCGAGTTGGATAAGAACAAAACAGACATTGTACATAGTTCTACTCCAGAACGTGACTTGATCTTTACGTTAAGTGGCAAGGACGTTTTTGTGGATAAAAATACAGACAGTGATAAAGAGACACAACCAGGAATCGCTTCATATACAAATGACGGCCAAAGTGCAGAGGATGGAAAAGAAAGTTTGAGAGGAACACCGTAAGTATCTTTTTCACAATACATAACAAAATGCTCTATTTCTTTGTTGTTAGGGAATTTGAGGCTTCTTCTTCGTATTTGTCATGATTTCGAGTGAGGCAATGTTCGGGTCTGTGGTGTATTCATCACATAGTGCCTCTTGCTCAAAAGTAGGTTAGAGAGGAAACATTAAATTTCATACAAACCTTGCTGTCTGATTTTAGTCGATTTTTGCACCCAAGTCTAAATATGTGCATTAGCAATTGAGAAAAATCAGAGTTCATTTTGGCTGTTTGCAGTTGGCCATTGCCGTAGACATCCTGCTGAAAATTACTTTAAAAAAAAGTTTGGATCTTTTTCCATGCTTATCTTATCTTGCTTGCGACGGTGTTTTGTAGGAAGGAGAAGAATCTGCAACGAATGAACACAGCAGTGAAACTGAATCAGCTTGTAAAAGACAGGTCAACAGGAACTCAACTTCTCGTTGTCAACTTACCTGGAGCACCCGTAGAGGAGAACGATTGGCTACACTGTATCCTCTTTCGTGGTTGCTGCTGTTGTTTTTGTTTTTTTTTCTCATCTTAAATGTGATTGAATTTCTTTTAACAGGTTTTTGAAGTAGAAGACCTTCATTTCATTACCCTCAGGTCAAGTTTCAGCGATTCCTGTTATCCAATGTTAGAACTTATCATAAGGGCACATGTCTTTTTCAAATCCAAGTCTTGCACGCGCACGCGAAACCCACACTGCTACGGCTTGGCGAGTTTTCTTTCGCACACTTGGTGCTCCCCTCATCCGGGTAGGATAGGATTGGCAGGACTTGTGTTTAATCCTGGTTAGAGAGACTTTCTGAGAGATACCACTCCTCTACAAAACAGTGACCTCGGCCGGGTTTCAAATCCGGGCATTTCTCTTTGGAGTCCAGCGCTCTAACATGAAGGGGCTACATCTTTTAGTGATTTTATGTATTCTCCGTTGATATAAAATTAATATGTCGGTAAACAAGAATTATTTAAAAACATTGTTTGAGATTCTCTTCATCCAAAAAAAGTTGCGTTGACTTACGACTTCAGTTCTAAATTTACCGTAAACGGTCTGTTTTAAACTATCCATGATCTCACCGTGTCGGATTTTCTTTGGTATGGGTTGTTTGCGACGAAATTGTCCTTGACTATGTAACAGATATGGAGTTTCTAGACGAGCTAACGGAAGGATTGGACCGAGTGCTTATGGTACGCGGAGGAGGACGGGAAGTCATAACCATATATTCGTGACGTCAACGCTCCTGTCTGTAGAGATTTTGCACACTTTTCGCATTGATTATGATAAAGAACAACAAACCGTTTCGATATGAGAAACACTTTGATCGGTAAAGCGTGATGTCTCTTGTAAGTCGAGTTTGGTAGGAATTTTAAAATGTCATTTGATTCATCGCGACAAAGAGATTATTTTGAGCCATATTTAAGTTTTTAGAGATTTTATTTATTGCGCGATGAAAAATTAGATTTAAAAAATGATCTCTACGTTGTTTTCCACACAATGATTCAATCTTGTAGTGAGATCGATTTTATTGGGAACTATCGTAACCATAGCGTTATTTGTGATTTCATAAGAAATAGCTTTATTTTACTGAGGCAGTTAAAGGTATTTAAAATATACAGACATTAAAGGAGCGTTTTTGCTTTCCACTTTTTGATTTCCCTTAACTGATTTCCACTCCAATCTTGTTGTATGCTAAAGAAATTTGCAAATGAATTCCTTTTTGATGTGGTTTTCTATGACAGGTGGGATTGGGGCCGGATAGTAAATGCTGAACTAGCTAAGTACATTATGTATGAGGAGTTATATGAAAGGTTTCTTTTCATTGATGTTAGGATTTGAAAGTTGAGCAAGGTATTCTGCATTGATCACCGAACTATGATGGTTCTATTTACGCTCGTGCACTAGATTTTAATGCGATGTTCACTTTATGGGTTGATTTTGATGAGGATTACCCTTTAAAATGTTTAGTTCTCCCTTCAACTTCCCTCTTGGGAAAGTTGGTTAGTCGTTTTAGCGAAGAAAAAAGTAAGAAGCAAGAGAGGAAAATTGACCAAGGGAAAGTGATTTCTAGAAACCGTGGAGGCAGAGCAAGAACTGTTTGACAAAAGTTTGATCAGTTGTGCAGCATCAAAAAGGCCTGGGAACAAGTTTCATGTGCGAGTGCTGTAAAGCCTGGTTACCAAGCAAGAGGCAGATTCAAAATGGCGGGAGAAACGAATTTACGAGCTCGTTGTTTTTCTTGAGAAAAACAAAGACGTCATGCAAACTTTAGACGTTTACAAGAAAGAGGAAGGAAAGATATGGCAGCGAAAACCATCTCCTTCTCCGGAAGAGGGGTGAGATATTCTTGATGTGATGTTTATTGCACTGGAATCACAATTTGCAAATAGTGTCTATTTTGACTGCTGTTTCGATCCCTCACAGTTTGGTAGTCTGCATCAGTCATTCCACAACAAGTGCTTTCTCGTTACAAGGAAGAAATATCCGATTCCTTCGAACGGCGTTCAGTTCAACTGGTGAAGCCTTTGCAGCTGGGGACCACCAGGGAAATATTTTTGTCTTTGATTTAATCAAAAATAGGTGCGTTTAATGATTCATCAGGCCGTCTACACTTATAACTGTGCCCGATATCAGTTGTGTTAATTTTCTCCTAATCACCCTAAGGACTGAAAAGAAGCGCTTGAAAAGTAGCCAGCTTATATCTCAATTTGTAGAAGTACGGGATCCTATAATTTTTGTCGTATCCTGTGCAGGTGCCTACATTATAAAACGTTGTACAGCTGTCCTTGCAAACCCGGGGAATGTTGGAGAAAGAGAGGAGGGGGGGGGAAGGGCTAACTCAACAACAGTTTTGGGGGAAGATCCTTCTCCTTGAATTCTAAACTAAACTTGAAACATGAGGAATGGCAACCCTTTCATATTAGAGAGAACACCACATCCCCGAGAAATCCTGCAAAGTCAAGCAAAGACAAAAAAACGTTTTGTTCAAATCCTGTGCTCCTTTTTCTCTCCCCTTTCTCAGGAGTAACATCGTAATATACTAACTTTAATTTTCTTATACCTTTCTGCTACCCTGTCATGTGCTTCTAGGATGTAAAATACACTTCAACAGCAAAGTATTCCTGTATACCTCGATAGCTAGTAAACAAAATGTGCCATCATTACCCTTTGGAACATGTTGAGGTATTTCATGGTTTTCATAAGCTAATCAACAATTCCATTATCTCTATATTCTCCAGGTTTTCATTAATCCACAAAACAGGAACTCCATGCACAGCTCTTTCCTTTTGTTTGAGGAGAAAAAATGAAGTGTTGGTGGCTCTTGCTGACAATTCGCTGAGATGTTATGATACAGGTGCATTTGATCTCATGGCTTTTCTGTATTGTCTTTTTTTTGTTTGTCTCTTTAAGAAGGCTGCTCTAAGAACATGTAACAGGGGAAAATGAATATCATTGCTCCCCTCCTCTTTAACCCTTTAACTCTCATAAGTGACCAAGACAGAATTTCTCCTTACAATATCAATACAGTATCAACCAGACAAGTGACGAGAAAAAAATTATCTGAACTTACATGGTAAGAAATGTATGGCAGACAATAAGGATAATTAATAGAGAGATCTCAGGAGTTAAAGGGTTAAAGATCATACCCAAAGAAGAAATTAATTGAAGTAGTAATGAATTATTTCCTTTAGTCTGATTGATTGATTGCCATGGATTAAAGCTTCAGTATAACAAAAGAATATTCTATATAGTGGTTCAATTTCTGTATGAGAAAATTTAGACCTTCCACTATCAAAAGTCAGCCAAAGATATCAGTGTGCAAGCCAGAAGTCTCTTTGATCTCTCATGCCTATAATAGATACCCAGATTAACTCTTCTTAAACCTTTTGACCCCTAAAAGTGACCAACATCTAATTTCCCCTTACAACATCACCCTTGAATTTCACATTGAGGTTATGAGAATTAAAGAAATGATCACCAGCTAAAGAAGCTCTTGGTTGTTGAAAACATTTTCCTTGTCAGCAACTTAGTAAATGTATACTAGAGAACATTAGGGAGAATATGCATACTGATGTTAGGGTGTAAAGGGTTAATTTGTCATCTGAGAAGGATTCAGTTCTTTTTTTGAGACAAATCTTAATGATTATGTGGCTTGAACGTTGATTTCATTTCAGAAACCCATGAATTAGTTAGCTGGATGAAAGGCCAGGACTCAGCAATCCAAAGTATATCAGTTCATGCATCAGGCCGCTATGCAGTCACTTCATCCAACTCTGTTGCTCAGTTGTGGGACTTAGACACATTTTCCCGTAAAAGGACTTTAAATGGAGCTCAAACTGTTGGAATTCAGCAGGTTTGAATTAATATTAAGTGGTGCAAACTGAAATCCTAAGAAATGTTCATGTTTTGACCCTTTCACTTCCAAGATCTAAATAGTGATTCTATTCACTTTTTGTCATTCATTGCTCATAACTTTAGATCTAAGAATTTGGTGGTTGATCAAACACTATCCCTGTAGTTGATATTTTTTCTCCTCTCATCACCTTCCTGCTTGAAAATTATTGTACAATAATGGTGAAATGATGATGGAAGGGAACAAATAGATGACTAGTTAACTTGTTGACCAATAGGCAAGGATTTATAGAACATTTTGCTTACATCTATATTAAAAAGGGTTAAAAATGTTTTGGTAGTTTTTCAATATGTCAGTCAGACATTTATTTTATGCCATGACCTCTCCCATTTCATGCTCACTTTAATTTACAAATGAACTAATAAGGTTGACACACTTACCTCTAGTTGGTAGCAAAAGTAAATGAGTCACTGGCATTTAAAGTAAAATATTCTTTACATGTGACATGTTACAATAGACATGTACATGTACATGTCACTGTTCAAATCTTTTATTCCATTTTAGACAAGTATTAATTGATTCACTATTCATCAGCTACATGTATGTTGTGGAATTGATTAACTTGGTGAGAATTTGGTTGTTAGTCAAAAGCAAAATTAATTTTGATTCTAATATGCTAGTCTTAAAATGTTTTCAAATATCATTCAGGTTTTGTTCCTGCCATTGAGCAATAC